CCAAAAAAAAAAAAAAAAAAAAAAAAAAAAAAAAAGTTTATTTTACCAAAGACTAATCCTTTGCTGATGTTCAAATTTAAAGTATTCTTTTGCATCTGTCTCATTGGAGAAAACGTGAAACATTGCTTCTGTGGCAGTTTCTTCTAGTTTTTCAAGGACTCATGTAGTAGCAACTGGTTCAAAATACTGCTTTGTTTCAAAGCATGCAGTTTAGATGTATCTTCACTAATGATGGCGATATTTCCATTTTGTTCCTGAGCTGTCAGGTCACTTTCATTGTCAGACAGGGTACATAGCAGAGTGTCATTTTCATAGGTTGGAAAATAATACCTGAAAACAACCACAGATATACTGAATAACCAAAACTATATATTATCCAGAAAATTTCTAGGAAGCTGAATGTACACATCACTATAATTTTGCTAGGTTTCCTTGCCAACAAGTGCAACTGCATTTTGCAAAGGCTGTAAGGGAGAGAACTCCTGAATTACTTTTACTTTGACCTTTACTGGCTGACATCAGTCTTACTACTATCCTTGCTAGTTGGCAATTCAGCCTTGGCTTGATATCTACCATAACAAGACACTCACTATCTTTTTTTTTTTTTTTTTTTTTTTTTTATTGGGGTATAATTGCTTTACAATGGTGTGTTAGTTTCTGCTTTATAACAGAGTGAGTCAGTTCTGCTATGGCCTCTCCCGTTGCGGAGCACAGGCTCCGGACGCGCAGGCTCAGCGGCCATGGCTCACGGGCCCAGCCGCTCCGTGGCATGCGGGATCCTCCCAGACCGGGGCACGAACCCATGTCCCCTGCATCGGCAGGCAGACTCTCAACCACTGCGCCACCAGGGAAGCCTGACACTCTATCTTAAAAGGCAGCCTACTCCACTATCAGGCAACTCTAGCTATTAAATAATACCTCCTCGCATAAAGCTAAAAATGACATCTCTCTCATTTCTACTCAAAGGGCCCGGTTCTTCCCTAAGGTTAACAAAGTTCAAATACAGTTACTCTTTCATACACTGCTCCTTTTATCAGTTGTATCTGATAAAAACAACTGCTTCTGCTTGTGAGGTATTTTTCCCCCTCCCCCAACCTAACCATCACTATTTCCTTCATTATAAATTATCAAACATTAAAACATCTAAAGAATTTTAAGTCTATTACTCTGGTTCCTTCTCTGGACACACTTTGTAGTTAGTTCTGAAATCTAAAGGTTTCGACCTGTATGAGAATTATAGAAACAGGGTCTCAGGTCAATCCAGGGCTGACCTTGTCTCTCATAAATCTGGGATTTTCTAAAGAGGAATTAAATAAAGGGATAAAATAAGGGAGAAGGAGCAAAGAAATGTATGTCTGGTTGAGCAGTACTCACTGTGGTTGGTCCCATGTCTGTCTTTCAGGAAGCAGTGAAGTATGTTTAGCTTCTTCCATGTGAGTCCTTAAGTCTGCTTTGGACTTGAACTTCTCATGGCAGCCATAACATCTACATTGGTGAATTTGCCTCCGAATGAAATTGACTAGTTTCACTTGCTGATAGAAGTTCAGTCCTGAAAATGACAGTACATAGACTCATCAGACAACTGGTCAGACCCATTTTTGCATTTTTATAATTTTTTAAAAGAACCGCTTCTCTTTATTAACCAACCTGAAGGGGCAGTGCAGTTTTAAAGCATATTAATAGATACCAAATAATAACAGCCAATACTTATATAGGGCTTATGTGCTAGGCACTGTTCTAATCACTTTCCATGCATTAATACGTTTAATCCTTGCAATACCCTATCACATAGGTGGTGTTACCGTATCCACATTATACATTAGGAAACTGTCCAAAATTGCACAGCCAGTAGGTGTAGAGCCTGGATTTGACACCAGGCTGTTGGCTCCACAGCCCATGTTCTTGACTATTAATCTATTACATATATAACATATACACATGCCTATAAGAGCGGTAAAGTAACATGTCCAAGAGTCTAGGAAAGTAGTCGGTGAGTTGAGGTGTGGGAAGTGAGCTTTTTACGGTCTTGGATACATTAGCAAGTCAGTACTTTATGTCTGCATGACCCTAATCTTTCTATCATAGTGATCCAACTGGGTACATCTATAATAAATAATCTAGCTACACTACCCAGCAGTGCAGTAGGTGTTTTACATACTCTATCCACTCTCTGTAACACTCTGCTGACCCGAGGCCCAATGTCACACAGGCAGTAAGTGCTAGAGCTGGAATATGAACTCTAGTATGACTTCAAAATCCACGTTTTTTCCACTAGTCCCCACCACATTATGATATTAACCATTAATTTATATTTTATTTGAAGCAATCATATATGTAGAAAAGAAGAAAGACTATATGAAATCAAAACCATATGTGAATATTATAGTTCAAAATGGTTGTGAATCACTGTTTCAGGCAGTTCTGTTGAGACCATCTGTGGAGAGACACATTTTGGCTGTGCACTCTCCAATCACAACTGTGCAACGCAGGCATCGTTTACGGGATGGTGTATAAAAAAATGCAGCATCATGGAAAACAACTTCCGAATCAAACTTACCAAGTTCTGACTTTATTTTGAGGAGATCAAATTCATGTGCTTCCTAAAAAAAGGAATGAATATATCTGTGAGCATATAAAATATTTAATCTTTCAGGCTGAAGTTATAAACAGACAGCTTATTCACAGGAGTTTGAACACTGTAGAAACTCAGTCTCGGTTCATCATCTGCTTTTGAAGTCTTTGAAATCTAACTGCTTCCCCCCACATCCAACTGCTTTATAAAGCACAGTCCAGACAAGTCATGTCAATCAGTTAAAACATTTAATTGTTCACAGCTTGTATCTACAGTCTTTACAATTTACTCTGTATGCATTCTGCAATCTGAAAGAAGTGTCCTCAGTCGCTAGGTAAGATGTGGCCCTACCGTACTGTGTGTTTGGACTAGAATTATGAATATAGGTCCTTTGCTCCACAAGCAGATAGGTAATTTAAAAAATTCTGCTCTTCGTTCTATGCTGTCAAATACAGCGTTTAAATCTGCAAGTTTCTCTTCACTCATATCTTCCCACAAATTACATGTCTTGATTTTCACGATGCATAGACTTATTTTTATTCTGTTCCATCCCTGCAATCGCCCATCTGGGTAAATGCTTCAACTTATAAGCTCACAGAGAATAAAGACCGTCTAACTCCCCGTGAAGGTATTCAGTGTAGCATCACAGTCAGGATAATTAAGAATTCCATGATATGTTATCACTGAAAGTAACTGAGCAGAGGTTGAGGACACCAGTCAAGGATACTGCAAAGGGAATTCTTACACAGGATAGGGGGACCAAGGCTCCTTTCAATTCAAAGATACTAGGATATTATGAGTTACATTTAAACACTGGAAACTATACATACATACTAGTGGCAACCTGTTTCAGACAAAATGACTCTGTTTTCACTTGAGTAAATGCCCATAGCCTTTTGAACACCTTTCAGGTCCTTGTTTTTATGAATGAGAATGGAATGAACATGGGTGAAAAAGGAGAGTCTGCTCCACTATGACAGAGCTGAGTGGGGGGAGGGGAGGGAGGGCACATCAGAATAATACAGTAATATTTTTCTATTACACTCAACTCTCTACTCCTAATATAACACAAAGATGGCCTCCAGAAAGGAGAGCGCAAACTGGAAATGTCCTCAAATTTCTTCTCTCCAAATCCTTTTAAGTGAAGGAGCTGCAAGACCACACCCTGTGCCCTCTCCACCTCCATGGCTCCCCCACCCCCATTTCCCCCAAGGGCTCTGTAAACGGCAACTTTTTCTCTTCCTGATCTCCTTGTTCACCAGCATGGGAAGCACTGGAAAAAGACTCAGAACCTGTCCATATCCTGGGTATTGTTAATCGTGGTTGCAGATCCCATGGTCTAGGCCAGAACTATCTCATAAGCACCTCAGAGGTGGGATGGCATCAGTGGTCTGTGAAATCCCAAACTAACAGTTCACCCAGGTCCAGTCAGTTGTACTTAACTGCCCTGAGTTCTAGTTCTCCTCTATGGACCTGCCCTGTCTCTTCTGTTTTGCTTATAGCACTTTTAGGAAGGGGAAAATAATTGAGAAACTAAAGGTGTAAGATGATGAGGTTGCAGTTATCATCAGCTTCTCCCTGTTGGAACAACGAAACAAAATTCAAATGAATAAAAGTGTCTCACCTCCATGTGGACACATAATTTCTCAATTGTTTCTGCTTGCTTTTCACAAAATAGGCAGACAGCAGAGAGAGGGTGTTCTTCCCAATCAGACCAGTCACTGTGTTAGAAAGAAAACAGCAAACATGGAGATTCTCTTCATTAAGAGGACGTCCTACACAGTGACTTGGTATTACTTTCTGCTCCCTAGGAAACCCTGCCATTCTCTTTCAACTCTGACATTTCTGTAAAGACTGTCATATCATATTATGACTTTTTGATACAGTTTTTGAAATTCAAAGTAGCACCATGAAATTAATATAAATAGCAAACAGGTGCTGCTCCATTTTCTTACATTTGCCTCTCCAAGCAGCTATTTCACCACGAGATCAGTGCAATGTCTTTCTGTCAACCAGCTTTAATTTGCAGAGAAGATATATCAGGAAATGTAAGCTCTCTCTCATTAACCATGACCACTAAGTGCGCATGCTGTGAGGTGCAGTGCTGGGAGTGTGTTTCTGTGTGATAAATGGCGTATTTTAAAAAGGCAAACCTTTATGTATCATGTGGGAAATACTGATCATTTTAAATGGGGCAAGTGTGAAATTTGATGGCAAATCGAGAAATCAAAAGGCATACAGGGCCCTTTTTACCATTTTCTCCCCTCATTGCATTTATTTTTGGAGATACTGTCAACTTCTTGTCATTCCTAAACCAGGAGAACCAAAATCCCAGGAGAGACAAAAGGCTGAACAGCTTTGAATGAAAAGAGAATGAATAACAGGGAATCCTTTTAGGTTGAAAAGAATACTTCTCAAGCTTATAATTTCAAACAAAGAAGCTGTGACTGTTTTACGTTAGTCATCAACGGGATGAACACAGAACAAGGTTAACCTCCATTGAGTTATATTCACTACTCCAATGGCAAGCATCATGGAGAGAGAGTTCAAAGATTATATCACTTTAAGGTCTACGGACCAATGCACTAATAAGCAAAGCACTTTGGAATATATTTTTCTCTGAATTATATACTACCTGTGTGTTCAATGAATAGCTTTAGTAGCAAAACACTATTTAGTTGGAATAACAGTTGCTTTAGTGATTCTTATGTCCAAGTTATTTTGGTATTATGATTATTATTTTTATTGAAGTATAGTTGATTTAAAATGTTGTTAGTTTCAGGTGTACAGCAAAGTGATTCAGTTTTTTATAAACATATGTATAAAATCTTTTTATATACATATATATTTATATACATATTCTTTTATACACATATATTTATATACATATATATTCTTTATCAGATTCTTTTCCATTATAGGTTATTACAAGATACTGAATAGAATTCCCTGTGTTATACAGTATGACCTTGTTGTTTATCTATTTTATATATAGGACTGTGTATCTGTTAATGCTGAACCCCTAATTTATCCCTGCCTTCCCCCTCTGGTAAACATAAATTTCTTTTTTATGTCTGTGAGTCTATTTCTGTTTCGTAAGTAAGTTCATTTGTATCATTTTATTAGATTCCACATACAAGTGATATATGATATTTCTCTTTCTCTGTCTGACTTTACTTAGTACGATAATCTCTAGGTCCATCTATATTGCTGCAAATGGTATTATATCATTCTTTTTTTTGGCTGAGTAATATTCCATTGTTTGTATACCACAAACAGTTTACCCATTCAACTGTCCATGGACATTTAGGATGCTTCCATGTCTTGGCTACTGTAAACAGCGCTGCTATGAACGTTGGAATGCATGTATCTTTTCTTTTTCTGTTTTGTTTTTGGCCACACCTCACGGCATGTGGAACTTCCCCGACCAGGAATCTTAACCACTGGACCACCAGGGAAGTCCCATTTATCTTTTCAAATTAGAGCTTTCGTCTTTTCCAGATATATGCCCAGAAGGGTGATCGTTGGATCATATGCTAACTCTATTTTTAGTTTTTTAAGGAACCTCTATACTGTTCTCCACAGTGGCTGCACCAAGTTACATGCCCATCAAAACTGTAGGAGGGTTCCCTTTTCTTCACACCTTCTCCAGCATTTATTATTTGCAGACTTTTTGATGATGGCCATTCTGACTGGTATGAGGTGTCAAAGTTATTTTGAATTCAAGTTTTTGCTATATTACATGAAATGATGCATGGCTTAGAGAGAGGGTTCTCTTTCTTTTTACTCTCTTTTCAGAATGGCAATTTTAAATCAAACTAAAGAACTGTTTTCCTCCTCTTAAACCACTGTAATTAAGCAGCATCAATAATAAGTCTTACTCTTCCTGATGATCTAGCAACTCCCGATCATCTTCTAGTTGAACTTCTTCCCAGGATTTTCCAAGTTCCTTTGTAGGAAGAACAGAGGGATCAGAGATAAACAGGAGGGGTGAAGGAGGAAGAGGCGAAAGGAGAAAGTAGACACAGAACTCAAAAACAAAACAAGACAGAACCCAAACGCAAATGGTTTTAAAATAATACAAGCAGAATATATTAAAGCTGTCATTTCACAGATAAGAAATGATAATCAAATTTTAGGATTTAGGATATATCCTAAATGGTTAGGATTTGGGATATATCCTAAATCAAACATTTAAAAAATATGCAAAAATGTTTAATAATATTTTCATATGCTTTTCTTTTTGAAGAAGCAGTAACAGCCTTTCAGTGAAATTCTTTTCTCTTAAATGTTGATCAGCGTTTCTCAACCCTGGATCCACATAAGAATCTCTTGGGGATCTTTTAAAAAAAACCCACTAATGGGCTTCCCTGGTGGTGCAGTGGATGAGAGTCCGCCTGCCGATGCAGGGGACACGGGTTCGTGCCCCGGTCCGGGAAGATCCCACATCCCACATCCCACATGCCGTGGAGCGGCTGGGCCCGTGAGCCATGGCCGCTGAGCCTGCGCGTCCGGAGCCTGTGCTCCGCAGCGGGAGAGGCCACAACAGTGAGAGGCCCGTGTACTGCAAACAAACAAACAAACAAACAAAAAACCACTAATATCTTTTGACAGAGACTCTGAAACATCCTCCTAGCTGGACTCTGTTTCTATTTGAGGTCCCCTACAGTCTATTTCCCAGACAGCAGCCACAGTGAGCTTTCTAAAGGGCACCTCCCTGTTTGTATGACCCCTCCCAGGGCTTCTCACACACTCAGAACAAAATTCAGAGGCTTACCATGGCTTATAAGGCCTCCACGTTCTGCCCTGGCTCCCTCTCCATCACTATGTCCCACCACATTTTCTCTTGCTCAGCTGGCTCCAGCCAGACTGCTCTTTTGCTATTGCTTGAACACAGAAAGCTGACTTCCACCCAGCTACTTATGTACTTGTCGCATCGTCTGCCTGAAACACTGCTACCTCACATATCCTAACATGGCTCCGTCATCCTGGTCTCTGCTTAAACACTACTACCTCTTTTTCTGACTACTCTGTCTAAAACACCCCTCCTTCAAGTTACTTTTTATTCATCTAGGATGTTTTATTTTTCTTCAAAGCATTGATCACACCCTGAAATCATTTTGTGTATCTATTTGTTTTCTTATTTGCTGTCTGTCTTTTCCACTAGAATGTCTGTTTGGACATGGCCTTTGTTCATTGTTACATTTCCAGAGCCGGGCACACAGTGGGTACTAGAAGTATTTTTTTGAAATGAATTTTAACAGAAAACATCTAAAAAATGTGATGTCAATTTAGATCCTACCTCAAAAGATTTCTGTAATGTGGTTAAATAGTTAATGTATTTAACATGGTACATGGTACCAGGTAATAGTAGGTACTCAAATATCTACTCAAATCCCTTTGATCTCTTACAGTTCATGGAGGAGTTCCACCCTTTTAGGGCTATGTCTGGAAAATTTAGTCATAGTTTCAGCAAAACTTTATGTAGTGATGAGAAGGAATGACTTCTTTTGGCCCAACCACGTCTCTTTTATCCCTTGAGTCCTTTCTTTCTTTCTCTTGTCCTTTCTTTTCTCTCCACTCAATCTTCCCACCGTGCCATGCAAAAGCAGACAGTGCATTAAAGAAGGATGTAGAAATACTAGTGGGCACTTTTTCAAGCAGTTAAACTATGGCAACTGTCAAGTCCACCCTCACCTGATATAATACAGATATCCTTCTTTTGGAAAAACATTACCAGAATTCACCTCATGAACATTTTTTTTCTCTAAAAAGGTATTCATTTAACTAAAAACAAAGAACTACAAGAGCCATTATGATTTGAGAAAATCTATCATTCATCAACTTAATGAGAGGTTCTGAAGCTGTCATTACCTATCAGCTAAATGACGCATAAACTCAGACATGCAGAGATTTACCATAACGTCATTAGAGATAGTTAATTTGGACTCTATAATGTACTTCCCAGAGTAGTCAAGAAGTGTCTAAGCATCATTATGAATATCAAAAATGGCCTCACCATTGCCAACAGGATCCTTGTTAGATGGAATTTTTAGTGATGAATTAAATCTTTTTTTTTTTTTTTTTTTTTGATGAATTAAATCTTTTATGTCTCTCTGGACTTGGACTAATACCCTGATGGGCCATTTGGGGTACTATCATTCTCAACAATACAGGCAAATGTTACTTATCAATAAATGTTTTGAGCCCAAAATGATGAAAAATATCTTTCACTGTCAAACTTCCAAACTCAAAGCATTACTTTGCAGCTTTCTCAGTATTAAGTACAACACGGGGATTTATCTAGGCAATACAGCACTAACCATTTACCATTTGAGAGGAAAATGGAACTCTGTGTTCATTAGAATAGGAAACAAGTGATTTGTATGTGACAGCGGCTGGGACTTTACTAGAGTGCTCTGCCTTGGTACAGTTAAATATGACTTATTACAGGAATAAGACCCAAAGAGAAAAAAAATTTAGTCTCTAATTAAGACAATGTGCCTGCTAATGAATCATGTTAGGAAAGAAAAGAATATAAGAGAAACAAAGTTTGGAAGGCATGCCAGTAAAGATGTTCAGAACACTTCCTCAAACCTCTGCATCAGCTGGCTTATGATCAATGACAGGGTGCAAAAAAACATGGAAAAAACTTAACACGTGCTTACACAAGAAATCCACCAGAAACAGAGACAGTGTTTTAAATGTAAATATTAATAACTGCAGTAGAGAGAACTATAACAAAACTGAAAAACAGGTTAAGAGCCTACTTTTGTTACAAATGGTTTTGTGTATTTAAAAAAAAAAAATTTAAGTCAAAATGATAATATCACTGTAAAAATAGTTCCCTTTAGAAAAATTCAGGGCTTGAAACGTGAGCACTTTAGGAATATGTAGGTGAAGCCTCGATGATGTTAAGCAGTCTGCTGCCCTCTGAGGCAGGGGTATTTGAATGTGAAACTGCCTGGGACCTCGTCCCCTTAGCTTGCTCCACTCTCACTGAACCCTTCTGTTTGTGAGAAAATAAAGCAAGAACTCTAAGTAGATAATCTAGACCATACAAAAGACCTTTAATATACTTATTTGCAAGTCTGTTAATATTAAAAAACTGATATGAGTAATTAAACATGGAAATTATTTCACCCAAGAAAGAAAAAGGAATTTATCAATTTGCTGAGCTGAGAAGAGACCAAAAACAGCCTCATGTCCCGACTAGGGATCGGGACACCTTTTATGGCTCTCCCACCAGACTCTCAGAGTGTATCTTGCCAGGAATATCCTGGATGCTTCCATTACTGCTGGTCTGAAAATTCTCCTTGGAGGTGAGACACTGTGGATGCATGACTCAATGACTATATAGAACTGCTACAGGGGAGATTGAAACATTACCTCTGTACACACCATTACAAAGTGTTGAAATTAATGTGTTTACATGTCTGGTTCTCATACCAACCTCTAAATTCCTTGAAAGTAGTGGCTTAAATCAACAACCTGTTCTGTCATATTTTTCTTTCTGTTCCACCAGGGTCTGAGTGACCTAGAAGTCACTCAAACATTTGTAGAATGTATGCAGCCAATGAAATTGCTTCTGAAGGGAAGAGGATGTGAGAAATGGATGTGCAGACACCAGTTACTAACACAACAATTCAATCTTTTGCCCACATCCACATACTCATGTCAGCCTTTTCCCTCAGAGGAATAAATAATGAATGTCTCTCATTTCTTTTCTTTTTCTTTTTTTTAGCTTTTTAAAAAACAAAGTGGGAATTCCCTGGTGGTCCAGTAGTTAGGACTCTGAACTTCCACTGCCGGGGCCCTGGGTTCAATCCCTGGTCGGGGAACTAAGATCATGCAACCCACGCAGCACGGCCAAAAAAGAAAAAAACAAATCTTATTGTTGGCCTCAATGGGAAAGCATATAGAGCTAAGATGGCTAAGGTTGTGGGTTAGAGCCCTTAAGGAGCTGATTAAAGTTAGTTTTACCTTGACCTTGGTTCACTTTCTAGTTTGGTGTAAAAGATAATAGGCAAAAGCGTGTGTGTGTGTGGAGATCATTATGAATTTATCACCATTAATTGACCAAAAAACCCAACCCAAAGTATAAGAGGTAGGTACTACTATTATTTCAATTGTAAAAACTGAGGAAAAATTGAAGGAAGCTGATGCAGAAAGCTCCAGCCATGTGACCCTGGGAAAATTACTGAACTCCTCTGTGCTGTAGCTGCCTAATCTATAAATGAGGATAATGACAAAACCTGTGTCATAAGGATGTGGTTAAGAGTAAAAGACTTAATTTAAATACAAAAGACAGTACCTGGCACATAGCAGGTACTCAAATGCTCCTAGTTAAAACCAAACCAAAAATTTCTATCGATATTACCCTAAAATGATTTAATTTTCATTTTATATGTTACTGAAGCCTTTACATTCTCTTGAAGCACTTCTCTCAAGCCATGATTCATCCCACATGAAATCTGGGCACTCTGTGGGCAGTACAATCTAGCACACTCATCTAAGACAGCTGGTCCTCACGGATAATTTCAGTTTTCACAGTCACACTACTTGATGCCCAGGGAATGAAGTATCAAACTTTTCTAAAAGTGACAGCAGAATTTGCGTGAGCAGTTTCTTTGAAGTCTCCTCTAAAAGATAAACACCTCCAGCTATATACAATGTTCTGCTAGTCCCAAGATCTTGACTATTAGTTGAAAAGAGCCCCAGAAGGAACTGCTATTAAATTGCTTCCACAGCTTTCTGCAGTAGCTGAATATTTCTTAGAGTTAACACTGAAGTCCATCCCTTGTAGGACTGGGCTGGGCCCTGAAGCAGCGTTTGTTCTAGGAATTAACAACTGAGTGATTTCAAGAGAAGACTGAAAGACTCAAAGGCTGCCTTTGCCTGTAGCTAGTTGTAAAACATGGGTAGCAAACCATGGCGACCTCTCAGAGC